AAAGAGTCAGTTCCAGGACAGCCCCCAAAGCTACAGAGAAACCCTGTCTTGAACTAAAAAAAAAAAAAAGAAGAACTGTAAGATCTTGTATCACATGGCCACACACAGGTCAAGCAAGGGACTTTCCTGGCAAATCCTTTTGTTGTATTTTAGAGAAGTAATGTCTGTACATCCCAGAAATCACAACACAAAGTTCGCCCCTCAGCAGGCAGTGAGGACAGCGGCAGCCCAGCACATCTTAGACACCAGCACCCACTGCTGCAGCTTAGAGAAAACCACTTATGGCCAGAGGCACATCAGAACTGCCAGAAGAACACTTCCTCACAGAGAGGAAGATGGAGCCCTGAGGGATTCTCAAGCAAGCCACAAGGTGTACCAAGAGCCACTGGTGATTGGGTGATGGACACTGCACTTAATGGCAGAAAAAGAGGTGTGGCAGCCACACTGCAATACCAGCACTTGGGAGGCTGAGGCAGGTTCAAAGCTTGCCTAGGCTACAGAGTAAGAATCTGTATCATGTGGGAGGGAGGAAGGAAGGGAGGGAGGGGGGAAGGAGGGAGGGAGAGAGGGAGGGAGGGCAGAGGAAGCAATGCAGAACAGCACCTACTCGGAAGCCATGAATAAGGCCTGAAGGACACTGTTCACATAGCATGTATTGCCCAAGTTGATTAAGCCAATCTTGCCCGTGTCTGATTTGGCCATGAGCCGGGGATAGAAGCCAGCCAGTTCACTCTTCTGTGAGGTCCAGGCATCCTGCCCCAGCAACTGCTTGATTCGGTCTTCATTGGGAATGTGGAGGTCCTGAGGAGGAACAGTAGACACCAGTGGTAGCTTTAGAGCTGACTTCCTCCAGGAAGTCCTCCTGGACTCAAACCCACTCCACCACTCCCTCCCAAGAACACACTCAGAAGAGTCTAGAAAAGATGTTTGTACAGCCCCTGCTGACAACTCATTCTAGGGTCTCATATTCTGTCATGTGGGCCTTCTATGTGATCTTTCAGGTGATAAACATGAAGGAGCAATCCCCATCTCAGAGGTTAAAAAAAAATCCAGGGTTAGCAGAACTAAGAACTGTGTAGTCACAAACAGTAAATGGCAAACACTACATCTAGTGGTGTCAAGATCTTGGTTCCAGATCTAACTCTCCTGTCTGATTCAGTCTGGTGACCTCCCTATGCCTGTTTCCACATCTGCCAAGAGAAGACACCCTTCCTTCCATCAGTCTGGCACTTATGCTGTCACAATGATGGCCCCACTCTGCTTCCCAGTTTGAGATTACAGAGTCAGCTTTCAGGCAAATCAGTCACACCCTCCCCCTCCCCCCCCCAGCACTGGTCCTGCACCAGTGATGGAGGGTCTGAGGGCTCTGAGGTGGTCCTTTGTCACAGACCCAAGGCTCAGCATGCCTTCTCCCAGTGTCTTTTGTCACACTCAATAGTTGCACCAAGAGGCTGTCTGGCACCAGTTCTAATGACAGAGACAAACAAATATCTGAGGATGTCAAGGCATTAACAACTGTTCCTCTAACTGTAGTCATCTGTCTGTCCTAGTTAGGTTACTATTGTGATGAAACACCATGACCAAAGGCAACCTGGGGAGGAAAGGGTTATTTTGCTTACACTTCCACATCATAGTCCACCATTGAAGGAAGCCAGCATAGGAACTCAAGCAGGGCAGGAACCTGGAAGCAGAAGCTAATGCAGAGGCCATGGAGGGATGCTGCTTACTGGTCTGCTCAGTCCAGGGATGGCCCCACCCACAATGGGCTGGGCCCTCCCACAATCACTAAGAAAATGCCCTACAGGCTTGTCTACAGCTGGATCTTCTGAAAACATTTTCCCAATTGAGGCTCCTTTCTCTCTGATGACTCTAGCATGTTGTCTTAGGGTTTTATTGCTGTAAAGAGACCCCATGCAACTCTTTTTTTGTTTGTTTGTTTGTATTTTGTTTTTCAAAACAGGGTTTCTCTGTGTAGCTCTGGAGCCTATCCTGGCACTCGCACTGGAGACCAGGCTGGCCTCGAACTCACAGAGATCCGCCTGCCTCTGCCTCCCGAGTGCTGGGATTAAAGGTGTGCACCACCAACGCCCGGCTCCATGGCAACTCTTCTAAAGGAAAACGTTTAATTGGGGCTGGCTTACAGTTTCAGAGGTTTAGTCCATTATCATGGTGGGAAATACGGTGGCATGCAGTCAGACAAGATGCTGGAGAAGAGAGTTGAGAGTTCTTTACCTTGATCCGAAGGCAGCAGCAGGACAGACTGCTATACTGGGCGTGGCTTGAGCATATATGAGACCTCAAAGCCTGCCTTCACAGTGACACAATTCCTCCAACAAGGCCACACCTACTCCAACAAGGTCATACTTCCTAATAGTGCCAATCCCTATGGGCCAAGCATTCAAACACATGGTCTATGGGGGCCATACCTATTAAAACCACCTCATTTATGTCAAGTTGACATAAAATGAGTCAGCATATCCTTCCAGGTCCTGAGCACTAAGTCAAAGGCAACAGAGTATTGCAACATCTTAGTGCCTGAGCCCCCACCCTGGCACACACCATCCCTATGGCAGCAGACCTTGACCACACTGTGTCCAACACTCTTGCTTGATTCTTTCCCAGGATCATTTATCAGGTACACCAGTCACCTCTCACAGATGACGTTTTTTTAAACAGAAAAGAAAAAGCTGCCTGTCATCCCAGCCACTTGTGTAGTTGCTAAAGGAAGATTACAAGTTCAAGGCCAGCCTAACTCATATCCACTTAACAAAGAAGAGTGACTCTGTCTGGATTCAAGGCCTTTCTGATGTCCCCTGCACACCCCTGACATATTACCAAATTTGACCCACTTTCCCCCTGTGTGTCCTTCCCATGAATTATCTGAAGTGCCCTCCTTGTTCCAGACCCTAATGGTCAAGGTCAAATGCCTAACTTCCACTCTACCAGGCTTTCCAAGAAGTTCCCCACCACCCACCACCTGTTGTACATACACGGCCTTGAGGAGAGGTTAGAGTATATAGGTTAGGAAAGACTAGTGAAAGGGCCACAGGGAAGCCCTCATCCCTGCTGGGTAAAGGCTTTCCAGGTGGATCACCCACACCCTTTAAGTAGCCCCCTCTCCTATGCTCTGCAAAGAAACCTATATAAACTCATTGGCTCCCAGGTGTGAACCTTGGCTGAATCCTGTCACTGGGGCCTTTAGAGAGAGGGGAGACATAGCTTTTGGCTCTGGGGAAGGATTTTTACAACAGTAATTTCTAGATTAACTCATCTACGATACCGCTTTATATTTCTGGCTTATTTTGTGTCTACCGGACAACTTTTGGGTATTATGAGTTTATAAATACTTTTAAAACCAAAGACTGCAGTGAGCAATACCCCGACACCACCAAGTGGTCTGAATTTCAACCCCTAAACCTGGTAGTTACAAATTTCTTTTTATTTTTCCTAGTCTAGGGTATACACCAAGCCAGAAAGATTTTCCCAATTTCTGCTTTGGACCCCATGTATATCTTTTCTAGACCACTCTTTTTATTAGTTTTTGTTAAGTTTTCAAGTGGCTTCATGGTACCCCTGCTCCATAGTGGGGATTAATCACAGCTTGTCAACACCAGTTCAAGCTTCTCTGTGGTGGAAGTTGGCCATGTTACTGATGCTTCTTCCCTGCCCCGAGGCATCACCCTCGGGCCCCCTCACCATTTGGGAACTCAGTTTTCTCTTCCCCTGGGGACTCCCCCTCACCCCCCTGCAGGATCGGCTCTGTACTTTAAGAGATGTCTGCTATGAGCTGGAGGGATGACTGGGCAGTTAAAAGCACTGGCTGCTCCTGCAAGAGCTGAATTCAGTTCCCACAGGCACAGCAGCAGGTGGCTCACAAATACCTGTCGTCCCAGCTCCAGGGAATCCAATGCCCTCTTCTGGACTCTTCATATATGTACGTACACACACACACATAGGCACACAGACACACATACACACACAAAAATAAAAGTAAATCCTTTTTAAAAGCTGTCTCTATGTCTCAACACACATGTCCAGATGTTTTTTTTTTTAGACAAGTGTGTCATGGGCATCCAATCTGCTGTACTGTGAGCATCACATCAGAAGCCCTGACAGAGGCTTTTGCCCCCACTTGCACCCTCTCCCTGTATCAGTGGTCCTTAGATTAGACTTCCTGTAAGCAGATCTGTCACCCCAATGGGCTTCAAAAGCTCCTACAGGGAGACATCTTGGTTTGCTTTGTGCCTGGTTCCCTGAATCCCAACGTCAGCTTGGCTGAGAGCAGGACTCCAACATAGTCCTAACAGGTGTCACTCCTGTTCTGGAGCGCTCGGGAAACACAAGTGACATGTGACCATCAATGCTGGTGCTGCGGGAGCCACCAAGAGGCCCTGCTGAAACCCAGGGAAGGAAGTGAGGCAGACACTGACAGCCCAGGGAAGGCTCACGAATGCAATCTTTGAGACCCTGGAAACCACATTAATGGTAAGTAGGTGCTATGATCTTGTATGCTAACAAAAAAAAAAAAATTTCAAATAAAGCAGGAGCTATGAATCAGGTAGAGGAAGGTTTGCAGAGGCACTAGCACACGCAATGGCCCAGAACACATAAGAAAAGATGACGCCAGTGGGAACAGTGGAGACCTCCATGTTCTTGACACACAATGGCCCCAGAGAGGTGACAGGAAGCATCAGGGGTTCAAGTGATAGAGGCTGCTACCAAGCCATGGTATAACCTCAAAGAAGGCCCAAACTGGCCCATTTGTCAGAGAGGCTGTCCACTCACCTTAATGGCTTCCATGACAGGCTCATACAGGTCTGGGAAGCCAGGGAACCGAAACACCATGCAGTGCACCAGCTCTGCCAGCTGCTCTAGGCAGCTGGTCCCAGAGTTCGAGTCCTCCTTGACCAGAGAGGCCACCATGGGAGGAATGTGAGGGAGGAGCTACAAGAGAAAAGGAGGGTTAGCTAAGGAGGCCAGCTGTTCAGCCTCACCCAACCAACTTGCCCTAGGGACCACAGGCCTGTGCAGCCACAGGCTTCTCTGCCCAGCAGCAGATGCTCAGGCTGCACCAGCCATCTGGGTGAGCTGAGCAGCATAAACACCTAGTTTGTGTTATATGACTGGGGGAGGAGCTGGTGGTGCTGCAGACCCTACCTGGGGCCTTGTGGGTGCCAGGCAGGAGCACTGCCACTAAGCTACACCCCCTGGCCTAGATAGGCTGTGTAACCTGTCAGGACTTCATAAGTGGGTACAGAAGGTAGTGTCTGAATCAGGTCCCTCTCAGTCCAAAGCCCATTCAGTTCCCCAATGTTAGGGAGTTTCAATTTTCAAACCCCTTAGAGTATTATATCCCAATGCCATAATGGGTAGATGGGCCACAGGAACACAGGGCCTGGGGTAGGAAGCCAGAGTTTATATATGGCAGGCTCTAGACACACGTCACCTCATTCCTCTCCTACCATCCTGGGAGTTTACCCCATTCTAGATTTAGGTCACCACAGTGTCACTTGGTCCCCATCCCTGGCTCTGATCTTTTCTCATTTCAATAAACTGGAAAGTGCAAAGTTACTACCCTGTCCAGAAGCCATGAAAACTAAGGCTCTAACTCGAGGGTATCAGAGAAGGATCCCTTCCCTGAAGAGAGCCTGTAGGACAAGAAGAGGAGCCTGAGCTAGAGGCCCGGACAATGGTTGCTGGTGGGCAACAAAGTGAAGGAGGGACACGGGTTTGGGAATCAGACCAAATTGGCTGGGACCTTCCCTGCCACCTACTGTCTGGGGCCAGTGACTCGCTTACCCGCTCCCCAATGCCATCCATCTCAAGAAGGAAGGCCTATCTGGGAGCTAGATAAGTGTAGCCATTTGGAGCACCACTCCTGACACCTGACCCTGAAGAACTACAGCTGTCACCAAGCCAGGCTCTGTCATTCTACAGTGTGCTCCTGGGAGTCACACATCCTCTGGCTTCCATTTCCCATCTCTACAACAGAGCCTTGAGCCTCCTGTGCTAAGATGCAGAGCTTTGCTCCAAAAGCCCCAACTCCCTGACTCCCAGCAGAAAAACCATATTAGGTCTCGGGCAGGTCAGAGAGCAGTAGGGCCCTTACCAGGTGGAAGGCTTCGTGGGAGTGCTGGAAAGTCAGGAGCATGTACTTGAGGACAGACAGGGCAGCTCCCCGAACAATGGGGTACAGCAGCTTAGAGAAGACCTGAAAAAGAGTTTCATGTCAGGGGTCCCCAGACCTGAGCTACCCAAAGCCAGTGTAGCCACAGTGGTCCCTGAAAGGGAAGTGGAGACACGAGAGAGTAAAAGCAGCAGGTTGACAACAGAAGCAAGAACACAAAGGTGCTGGTGGAGCTGGATGGAGCAATATGCGTTGAGACAGGCAGCCAGGGTTAGGTGAGTGATGGTTGGGCACACACATGCCCTGGAATGAGTGGTCAGAGTAATGGAGCTGGAATCTGAGGCCCAGAGAGGAGCAGTGGTGTATTAGCCCCGTCACACAGTGAGCTTGGTCGGGTGGGACCCCAGTACCCTGTATCCCACTCCTGCGCTGCTCCCAGAAGAAGAGACCAGTGGAAAAGGCCGCAAGCCCAGATTCGGACAGGGGCCACCAACCTTCTCAATTTTGGCGAGCGAAACCTCGATCAAGATGCTGAACTTCTTAACAGCAGCCAGGCCCTTCAGAAGGGCAATGATCCACTTGTCAATGTTCTTCCCCAGGGGCCAGGACACCCAGTCGATCATCCTGGTGAGGGGAGTGACAGTGACACAGGGACAAGGGAGGCCCAAAAGCCAGAGTAAGGGCAGCCCAGGGACTGACCATAAAGTCCTGACTCACACCTGCACAGGGCACTTGGATCTTCAGGACAAACAGGACACTCCTGGAAAAGGCAAATGGGCCCAGAGACACACCCAGCAGACAGGGCTCACAGTCCTCCAGAGGGAAGCCAGACTCTTTCACCCAATGTACCCAACCACAGGGGGAAGGGACTGAGAACTCTGACTCCATCAAGCCCCTGCTGGAGACCAGGGCAAGCCACTTCCCCTCTCTGAGCCTGGACTTCATCTGCAAATGGAGACAAAACCCCTCCTGAGAACGATCACATTAAGAGAGCAGTAGCTAACCCTGCAGTATCGGCAGCCTGTGTGCTGGACTGAGCATAGGGCTGGTATGTAGTAAATGCACAGAAAGACAGCACCACTCTCATTACTCAAACACTGAACTGACTGTGCCACAGTGAGAAAGAATAATGGTACTAGGAAAGTTCCCATGAAGCTGTCTTACACCTCACATGGTGGCTCACTTTTGCCTAATCCTCAACACATTCTTTGATGGTCCCAATGATGACCACTTTAGAGCTGAGGAAACTGAAACAAAGCCACACAGTTGAGAGGCCTAGGGCAGGGCTGGCTCTTGGGAGACATGCTCCTCCTGCCTACACCCTTACCCCATCCCCTCTCTGCTTACACCTTTACCCTCTCCCTCCTGCCTATACCTTTACCCTTCACCTCCTGCCTATACCCTTACCCTCCCCCTCCTTCGTACAACCCTTACCCTCCCCTCCTTCTTACACCCTTACCCTCCCCGTCCTGCCTACACCCTTACCCACTAAAGACAAGGAATCCAGGAAAGCCCCATGAAGATGGCTCTGTGTATGGGTACAGGAAGAACAGCAGAGGGAGGCATGCCAGGTAGATGGGGACATGCCAGGTAGATGGGATCTGCACAGGCAAAGGCCTGAAGAGAGGAATGCAGGCGGCCTAGTAAGGGGTCACAAGGCAGGCAGGTTAAGCTAGTTCACAGGGTGACAGCATTCAAATGAGGGGAGAATGTACACACATTCCGTGATTGAAAAACACCCAAACTCTGTTTATGGTCTTTTCCAGACTCATAAAGCACACCAAAAACTACTTTCACAGCATGTGTCTGTGTGTCTTCGTGTGTGTGTGTGTGTGTGTGTGTGTGTGTGTGTGTGCGCGCGCGCGCTCTCTCACAATTACAGAATGGAGTCTAATGCACAGCAAGTCTGTGTGTTCATGTGTGTGTGCTTTCTCACACCTACAGAATGGAATCTAATGCCCAGAAGGTGTTCTACCCTATTATTACTAATTTTAATGATCCTTCCCCAGCCTGAAGCTAAATGGCCATCCAACCCCAAGGATTTGCCCATCTCTGCTTCCTCAACACTAAAGTCACTTGTATGCATGGCCATGCCAGGTAGTGGGTATTTGAACTCAGAGTCCTCAGGGGCAAGCACTCTTTTAGCCACTGAGCCATCCCCTCAGCCCCTATTTTTACTCCTCATACTACCAAGCACTTCTACTTTTCACAGAGAGAGAAACCGAGGCTGAGGGTTCAGAGTCACACACTTGTACCTAGTCTGGTGGTATCACTGGGACAGGATTGTGTCCTTTACATCCAACTCAAGGCCAAGCAGAGGAAGACTGTAGAACTCCCGGATGAGTAAACAGGTATGAGAGTCTGGACTCTGACCACGGATACCCTGAGTCCCCATCCAGAGTCAAGAGCTTCAGAGAAAAGTGAGGGAAAAGCCCACCCCCTGCTCATGGCACCCACCTGCTAATGGCGGTCAGCATCTGGGAGTCTGTCACACTGTCATCATTGCTGAGGTTCCGAACCACACCATCCATGAGCTCCAGTGGAAGGTGCTGGACCACACTGGCCAAGGCGCTGGATGGTGGCTCCTCCTCTGGAACAGGGCTAGACTGAGCTCTCCATGCCCTCATGCTACCTCTACTTAGGCTGGGCATCTGCAAATAACACATGGGGCCACCTCCCCTCCCCCTACAGCATCAAAGTCTCTGAATCCATTGTTACACATTCATTCAAAGACCTTGCACTGGCATATGCTGACACCGAGAGGAAACACTAAGCCCCAAATGTGCATGTAAAGAGAAGCCCTTCAGAAGAGTTAATACTGGAGCTAGTCTTGGGAGGAAGGTGCACTGACACAAAGGTGGAGATGGGAGAAGGCACATTTAATGCCAAACTCTTGTGCAACTGAATAGGAGACAAACCCCCGTACACAGGCTAGCCTTAGTCTCGGCTCTTCCCTCCTTCCACCTGCACAACCCTACTACCAGGGAAATCACAGCTCTGTCATCCAAACTGGAATCTAAGGTCCACTGCTAGCTGGCAACTGGATGTCAAGATTCCAGAGTTCAGGGGCTGGAGAAACAGCTCAGTGTTTAAGAACTCTTGCTGTTCTCGAAGAAGACGGAGTTTGGGTCCCAGCATCCACATGGTGGCTCACAACCATCCTTAACTCCAGTTCCAGGGATTGGTGACCTATTCTGACCTCAGAGGGCACCAGGAGCACACACACGGTGCACAAACATACACACAGGCAGACCACTCATACACATGAAATAAAAATCTATTTTTAAAGGATAGATTCTGAGTATAGGTATCGCCTACAAGCTCCCCTGCTTGCTGCCAGATGCTAATGACTCCAGACCGAACCTTCCTGACTCAAAGCCCAGCACCCACCATTCTGCCCTCCCAAACTGATTTCATCCTCTGCCCCACGTGGTATGCTCCCTACATTTCCAGCTCCACCACGGGATGACACCCACAGCAAATGTCCAAGGTAGGTTTGCTCACTAAAAGTGAGCATCGCAGTCCACCGTGTGTGCAACCCGCACCAGGGCCAGTCCTAGTTCCCACCCCAGCCCGGGCTGCACACGCACCTGTGCAGGAGATGACAGCGAACAGTTCCTTGAGGCAGGGGAGGATGGCGGCGGGCTGCGCGCG